ATTGATGATGCTTTGGGTAAAAGTAGCCATGAAATTACACTGATCATGTATTGACCGTATTGTTAAAGATTTATTTGTTTATTTAAAAAAGCAGTTTGTTTGCGTGAACGTGGAATGTTGAATCGCAGACAGTCAAGGCTTGCGGAAGAGCAGAAGAACTGGAAAAACCTCGACTGCATCACATAAGTCGCAAGTACGGGAGCATTTTAGCTCCCCTGTAAAGTATAATGATGATGGAAGGTTGGTGGGGAAAAAACCCAAGGTTTTTTAGTTTGTATCCACCCTTGTATGTTGTTCCTCAAATGTAAGTTGCTTTGGATAAAAGCGTCTACCAAATGAGTAAATGTAGTGTATTACTGTTGGGAGGTCATTAAAAACATCTCCCAGTCGGAGATTTTTAGAAATAAAGTCACTAAGGGTTGGAAAAAACTAGGCAGCGGACCAAACCACTGTGAGGCATATGAAGGAGGATATAATCTTTCAGAACTTAAAAAATGCATTGGACTTGTAGTAGAGAATGAAAGTTGTTAACTGTTTGTATACAAAATACATGTCTTTATTTGATAGGTATAGTTACAATGTAAATAGACAAACTGAGAACAGCTATCTGATTCAAGTATCACAGTGTTTATAGCAGATGCAAATTTGTATCAACACCCATCCCTAGAAGGGCATTGACTCGACACTGATAGACAAGAGTGATTATATTTAATTATTGGGATCAAAATGATTGCTAGGGACAATTGCGTAGTCACTGGATATTGGTAGGGGCGTGTCCCCTACTAAATTCTGTGCCCTTGACAAAACCATTATGGTATGCAGGCATTGTGCAAAACGAAAGCCATACGATCAAGGCAATACATCGAGCAAGGCAACACATTTGACGCGACATCAACCTGAGGTGTCAATGAGGGGAGCCAAGAAGAGACAACTTCTCAACCCTGCATTTAAGCAGCCCCAGACCAGGCTAAAGCTATTACAAAATTATTTGGGATGTTTATCGCTGCAAACATAAAGCCACAAAGGGTTTAAAAATACGATGAAGGTGAATGTGTGTAGCCACGCTACGAAATCCTCCCGCGTACGCTCATAAACGACGTTACAACAAGATGGAACTCCACTTATGACATGTTGGAGCGCTAACCTGACCAGCAGGCAGCTGTATACTCTGCATTGACAAACAAAACCTTTGGGAAAAAAAATCAAAGAAATCATCACCTTGTCTGACGATTACGACGTGAAAGTGGAAGAGGACGTCCCTATCTCACCTACACCCTGTCCTACGCCAGAGAACATAAAGGGAACTCATCACTGAGATTGTGGCTACTGAAGAGGTGAAACAATTTATAAGAGTGAATACTAAATGTACTGCAGTTTAGTCTTAGTCTATGTTATTGCTATTAAAATCATTTAAAAAAAAAAATAATAATAAAATAAATGTCATTGCCGCAGCAACAGTTCTATGACAATAAATAATGAATCAAGTATTTTTTTCTGCAGGGTCAAGCCACAGACCTGACATGAACAGACTCAGAGGTATCTCCTCCCCAAAGTCAGCCTGAAGGAGCTTTTAGGGGAGACCTTTGCCAACAAGGACACAGGCAAGACATTTTCCAACACCATCAAGGAGGTGCATCCTTAAAGGCAGCAAGCAGGATTCCAGTGGATGGTGATCCACTGCTTATTTATCTTTGACGCTGTGCCTAGCACTTCAGTTCCTAGCGAGAGGGTGTCTACTATCATGCCTCATGTTGCACTTAACAATTGTGTTTTGGATATTTTATTTAAAGACTTTATTTAAACAGTGGACATCATAAATTGTTGTTTTCATCTAAGACCATAGACCAAGTTCCTTGCTTTAAGTGTTCTTTAGTTCTTAAGTAGTAAATGGTATATAAAGTTATATATGTCTCTTTTTTGCTGATGTGAAAAATTATTCAATCTGTGACTTTAAACCGTGATACAATCCCAAACGTGAGTTTTGTAATCCATTGCACTACTAAGCTTGTCACTTGAGATTCTACCTTTCCTTTTCAAATTGACCTGTGTGGATATGATCGATAATTAAACATTGATTTTGTAGGAGGTTGTGGAAATAAGGGCTGTGTTTGTTCAGAGAGAGATAACATTCTTAGACAGTAACCAAAGCATGGCAGAACAGCTTGGTAATATTACCTCATGCTGAGCTGCATAATAAAGAGGGCCCACATGCATATTAATATCACCACTCTGCATAATGTCTACATCATATGACAGGCTCAGAATTACACAGACACCTCACTGATGTTGCCTAACCTGTCCCATGCTTTACCATGGTTATTTGCATCTACATTCCCTCATACAGGCGGGGATCTCCCCTAACTGTGGTCTCACCCACGTCAGCTCCCCGGGCCCTGGCTGCCAGCCTCTTTCCCACACTCCACCAGTCTTGCACACTAACGCTCCTCCTTAGAAACGCATGGTGGAGGTGTGTGATGCCAAACGAGTTCCTCGTTACCTCCCTCCCACTCGGGTGGTAGAAGCTTTTGGAAGAACTACAGCGACATCTGCATGTGCCATGGTTACAAAGCGCCAGCCTAATACCCACCCTCTTTAGTGGGTTTCCCCTGCCAGCCTGCTCGCCATCTGTATTGCCCCTCCTCCTGGCACCTGCGGCAGTCATTTCTCAAATTACTAAACATGGCTAATTGTGTGAGGCGTGAAGCTCACTTCATTTGAATATTCTGGCTTCGGGGGGATTTGCCTTGCATAGGGGAAGAATTAAGCAAGGATGCCTGGAAAAGGAAGGATCTGCCATTAGATACCCAGGTCTCTGTGGAGTAAAATTTTCCCACAGAATTGTTGTTTTCCGTGCTGTTAATGTGGTACCTCACGAGGGTGTTGTTTTATATAAGACCTGATTTTGTTAAGTTACGAAGTGATTTAAAAATTTTGCTCCATTCTTTATGTTTAACAGTTTGATTGAAAGTGATATTAATCAAAATTTGGGAAGTGATTCCTTTGGAAGATTTCTTAAGAAACCTTGAAATTAGATTGATTTAAAAGGAGGCGGAACGATCCATTGGAACTCTCAAAGTGCTTAAAGTGGGTCACAGTGTGTTTCTCTTCATTAACTACATCCTCCTATATGCTAAATGGTGGTGTTTTCTTGTGCAATAGCAAAAATGTTGAATCTCACGTATGTCCTGATTGTGTGTGTGGGGGGGGGGATTCATTTATCACTAATTAATCTAAATATAATGGGCCTCGGTCTAAGGCGAGAATCGGGTTGGGGTTTGGCTGTGGAGTTTATTTTGGGGTATGTTTGTGTGAGGAATAACGTGAAGCAGATTTTTTTTGCTGTCTTGTGTAGGAACATTATGGTAAAGAACAGCAGAATAACTGAATTATTCCCATCAAGTAACAAGGTTTTTAGTCCTCAGTCTCCCAGTCACTTAGTCTGTATCCAGCCTGGCTCATACCTGCTGCCAACAGTCACCTGCAATGCTCTGCCCTTATTTGTATAACATTTTAAACCCTTACTTGATCTCTCACGACATTATCAATGAATTGTTCATTCAAACAATTTTTTTGTATTACGATTTAGCTGGTTACATGCAAATATTTCATAAAGTCTGAAATCGCGATAGTAATCTGATTTCTGTTCCATTCACAAATGCACAAACATCAATTAGTTCTACATGAACACACATTCACTGTATGTGAAATGGCTCCTTGCACAAAATGTAAGGTGCTCAATTAATCTGTGTCGGAAAGGTTGAGCTCTCTGACTTTTTTTAATTAATGTTGAATTAAGCGAATTGGCAGGTTGCCAGACACCAGGCACACAGCTTTGAAGATTGTCATCGCATAATGAGTCGCTTTTTTTCTCTTTATATTTTATGCTTTTCTGTTTCCAGTCCCTCGCTCTCCGCTGCCATTTGCCTGTATGCCTTAGCGATTTAATGATATGCAAATGAAATATGCATAAAACCATCCCGCTGTAGGATGATTAAGCACAGAGGACATTAGCCAGTGCCCGCCACAGTGTCTGTTGTCTCCTCTGCATTCCGCTTCGGCCGGGCGCCAACAACACCAGTCTAATGAAGATCAATGCTGCTTATGCACTAATCATTTGAATAACACAAATAATATCCAATTTGAGGGAAATTAAATTCCAGGACGGTTTCTTCACGCTCCAGTTTTGTAAGATCCAGAAACAGGAAAGGCAGTCTTCATATGTGAGAGTTGGTGCTCTAGAGAGCAGGCAGAGAGCAAAGAAACCAGGTTTTCCAACAGGGAGCACTTGAACATCACTGGCAATGCAGGAGCTTTTCTCTGCTTGTTTGTGAGTACTGTGGCATTATTTGACTACTGGCATATAACGAAGGAAGAAAAATATCCCCGTTCTTGCTTTCCCTCTCTCTCTCTCTTTCACACACACACACACACTCCACCCCCCATTCCATTCTGCTCTCTCGTGCAAGCCCTCTTTTTTTTTTGTAATCCATTTGTATAATGAAGACGCTTCACAATTAACATCCCCCATGGAATTAATATAAAAGGGTGATTATCCAAAGTTCATTAGCTCCGAAAGATTAGAATATCCACATATTTCGCCATGACGAATATGGAAAAATACGGCACAAATTACAAATTACATTGTTAATCATATTTGTTGCAATCACGATTAACACATTTGAGATGCCCAAAAAGATGCCATCTTTCAAGCGGTCCTTCCTCAGTGGTGGTACAACCAGATTCAGACATATTGGTAGTGCCAACGTTGGGTAGCAAGCACAAAGATGTCATAATCACTCCCTTTGGATGACTTCCTTAATTATACATATTGCACAACCATGCCTCTTGTCCAAAGAAATCCAGGAGGGAAAAAATGACAAGAATAATTGTTGGATGTCAGTGGATGGATATCCGTCTGTTGCTAATTACTGTTTTAATTCCGACTGCATATTAACAATGAAAATGAACTTAATGAAAGCCTCCGTTGTGTGTCTTTGCAGCGATGCCCATCCTTGGCTCCGTGCCCGATGCCAGCAGACCTCACAGGAACCACAAAAACGTTCCTCCGGATCCAGAGAGTATCCCGAACTGCAACTCAAACCAGTTGGTGAGTCTGCCTTGCATCTGTTTATGATAGTTAAGCGCAGGAGGGAAAATCCTGAAAGGGTGGAGTTTGTTCATTTCTTTTGGATGGTTGGCAAGAAGGGGGCAAACAAGTCGTGGAGATGTGGGGAGTGGGTGTGGAGGATGTAATGAGTTCCCACGGCCTCACTACCCCCAGTTTGGTTGCAGGCAGGCCAGCACCTCCCCCTCAGTGTCTCTTGAACTCAGGTTGCCTCCTTGTTCCTGTGCCTTCTGTGCCCATTCCACTGAGTTTTTGTTGTGTCAGTGCCACCTCTCCCACTTGGTGCTCATGCTGCTGGATACTGTATTGAACCTATAGGATTCAAGTCCATGATGACTGCTGTGAATATAGATGAATCACACAAATGCCCGTATTCCTCCCTGCGATTGCTTGGCTTGCTGCAGATGTGTCTTTTTATGACTGTTTAAAGTGTTTCTGCTGCAAGAAGTTTCCCCTGTTACCGAAAAAAATCTTGTAGAGGAAAACAGGATGCGTGATTAATTTTGATCAGCACAAGTTCAAATAGAGGGAAAAAAGTTAATTAATTCCTGTCTGTCCGCTGATTAGAATTTGTTTTGGCAGGTCATTAGTATGCATCCTCATGTTTGCATTTTTTCTCTCTTTTGTGTCTGTGACATTGTAAACAGCTGCTATTGAGCTTCAGGCACAGTCCCTCAGGTCCATTCTTCCCCCCTCCTCCTCCTCTTGGAGGCAGGCACACAAGTGATTGGCAGATTGGCAGCGTCTGTTGCAGCAGCTTAGGCACTGTAGACATTCAGTGTGGCTGCCCACCACTGCAATAAGAAATCGCAGTTTACACTGGGGAAAATCTAGGGTAAAGGGAGTTGGCACAAAAAGAGGCACTCGCTTCACACCCTGTACTAATAGTTGAACAGTTCGCCGGTTTTGTCTTGCTTCATCTTGCTTTTTGTTGCTGTTTTATCCCCATAATGGATTCTTTTGTTGATAATTTCAGTCGTTCCTTTGATTGAGTGTGTCACCCTAATTAATGAAGCAAACGATGCTCTAATTAGTCAAATCAACTGCTGTAATGTCTGTTTGTTCTTTTCTCTTTTATTTCTGGCAACGGATACGCGAAGGGTATCCGATTGTGTCGATTTGGCTTGTATCTCCCTCGTCCTTCGCCAGTTTTCGTGCCAGATGCCATCACATTGCCGCTGGCACACCACTTGAGACCCACAAGTGCCAAATTATTGCTCCTTGGGTATCCTCCAAACCACTTTTACCCAAGTCCATAAATGCCAATTGTGCGATGGAAATGGCGTTTGTCATCGCCCGTATGTTCCAAGGGTACGTCCTTTACTGCTAATGAATGAGTTGGCATGGCGTCTCCTGCCCAGATGGCTGGCTGGCTGCCTGGCACAGAGAGCTGTGCCTCAGATGGTTGGAGAGAGAGCGAGAAGGAGCAAGTGGGAGGAGCTTCCTTTTGTGCCACCGCCACACCCTCTAGTCATCGCTATAACAACAAAACAGCCCAAAGTTGCTGTTGTTTTTGTTTTAGAATGTCCATCTCTATGATGCTGCCTCTATTTACCGGTCCTTTGCATGCGGCTCCCATCACTGTGGATTCACTTCCTGTCTCAAATCTTATGTGATACACAGTTTTGCTGTATTTTAGAGTGCTGGATATCCACCAATGTACTTCCATCATGGTGCCATGTAGCATCGAGTATCCATCTTAGTCGCAGCTCCCAAAATTCAGGTGTTGGTTGCATCTTGAAGTCTTCAACATCAGATGTTTACTTGTCCTCCATGGCGGTACTGATGTAAGGATGAATGTGTGTCTAAAGATCTGTATCTTCACTGTTTTAAGACAGCCCACCATCTGCAAAAAAAACAAAAAGCTAAGAGAAGAACTCAAAGCATGTGACGCTACCAAAACGACAACAGGACCCTTCTGTCTCCCAGGCTACATCTAACCACCTACCTTAGAGAACGAACAGTAGTCCGCCTTGGTGCTACCACTGAATGGATGGCACTGTGCCAACTTCCCTCTGCCATAAACCGCATTCGCTCCTTGTTTCCCTTATTTGCCCATCCCCTTTCTCTCTCAGTCCCTCGCTTACCCACCCTCCTCCTTTCCCTAGCTTTCCTTCCACATGCCCAGTACACCCTCCTTCCATCTCCCTTTTTTCTTCTATGAGCTTGACATTAATTAACATTTGGGTTAATTGATTCTTAAAGCTGATGATTTTTTTCTAGCATCTCTAGTAGGCTGGCTGGCTAGCTGTTGTCCGCCCTGCCGTGTAACCTCGGTGCCTGGCATTAGCTGTGCTCTGCCCTTCCTCTTCACTGGTCCTGGATGGAGAAAGAGAGAGCTTCAACCCCCAACCAGCAGCCCTAGTGTAGTGCAGCAACACTAGGGTATGCTGTGCCTGTTTGTGCCACTGTACACAGTGAAGAATCCCAACCTGCTTATCCGACTGTAGCTGATTGAAGTTGACGTTTTGCTGGCTGATCCGGCTGCACAATGTTGTCCTGGCATTTTATAAATATTCAAAGTCCTCCTTTGACCACCTTCAATTCTGTAAATACTTTTCTAATTTTACTCTCCCTACCTCTTTTCCAGCTGTTCACACTCCTCCTTTCTCTCTCTGACTGTCTGTATCTGTAATTGTCTTTAATTGTATCACGATCTTGTTCTTGTAAACGGTGACCGTCTGTTTTTCCGTTACTTTTGTGGGACAAGGAAGAGAAAGTAACGAATATGTTATAAACAAATCACTCTCTTCGGACATTTTTTATAAATGTCTGTCTAGATAATTGTTATTTAATATGGGTGGTAATCATCTTCTCTTTCTTGTCATTAGCTGTTTAGTCAGTAGTGCATATTTGATTAAATACTTATCTTGGCCACATCTGCTTTTTCTTCTTCTGAGATTTTTCTTCTGGTCTTTGGTACGGAGCTGATAAGGTTAAAAGCGGGAGACAAAAATAGTTAAATTATTTAATAAAACCTCCTCCCTCTGAAGAGGGTATGCACACTGCTGTTAATTAGCAGTGCTGAAGCTTGCTTTAATAGTCGAGGTAAAATAGACTAATTGAGAGAGAAATTTACGAACGCTCGCGAATACTGTGTGACATGTTGTTCATGTGATTGCTGTTAAAATTCTTACATATCATCTTTCTCTTATGTCTGTACACTATATGTATGTACTGTACACATTTAACGTTTGATAGTTCTATGGCTGTATAATTAGAGACGACCTGAACACAAAATTTGTCCTTTCTCAGCCTCGTGTTTCAGGGAAGTCGTGGCAAAGGGCTTCATATGGCTGTTGGTTTTTTGTTTCACACTCTTTTCCATTATTAAGTAAAAAGCAGCAACTGCGCAATTGAGGCAACAAGGGGAATCCATTATGCAAATTGACCACTATTTGCATAATGTCTTATGCCAGGAATATGCAAATGAACCGTATAATTTATGAGCGCCTGAGTCTGTCTCATAGTGTTCCCATAACTTACAAAGAGTTTTTTTCCTCCTCCTCTCTCCTCCTATCCAAGCTGGCACGACATGTACCACACTCACAGACCAGACCCACACTAAACAAGCACACCCATAAAAAGGGGTTGCTGGCTGGGTACTATGGCTGGGTGGGAAAAACTTGTCTGGCAGACTGATGAGAGATAAGGAGGCAGGCAAGGGGCGGGGATGGGTGGTATGGGAGAAATGTGTAAGGGGGCACATAAATCCCTCTACAAAGGCTCAGTAGCAGATGCTAATTCTCTGAAACAACTGCGAAACTAAATAAAATGAGAGACACAAAACAAAGACTGAAAATTTCGACTGGGCGGAGCTACAGCGATTTCTGACTTTTCTTTTTGTCTTGTTGCCAGAGCGTTGGTTCTGCGCTCTTTGCCTTTTCTTTGATGCCCGCTTTTCAGATTTTTTTCCCCCTGTCATTGGAGCTGGCAGATTTTTCCTCCTGTGGAGGATTTCCTCATGACTCAGTTCGATGAGGGCAGCCGAATGCTGGGTGGGATGGAGAGGAGAGAGAAACACAGGAGGAGAGAGAGGCTGTATCTGAAGGCATGCGTGTGTGGGCTCCAGTCAGTCTCTACCAGTACCCTGGGAATGCCACTACTCAGCCCAGCCCAGCACAGAGCATCCAGGTTGTATCCAGGGAGACCAGGACCAGGTACATCCTGATATGTAATGTAAATTACACACCAGTTGTTCGGGCTTCTCATTCCCCAGCAGGATTGTTTGCTGCAATTATTCTATTTTGACTTGTTTATGATGATTGGCCTGCTTTGCATACTTGATCTGAGGCTAAAGAGACAATTCTTCATTGTTCCAGAGAAAAAAAATCCACCGGGGACTGCGTTGGAGTAAAGACTTCCACCACTGCACTCCATGTCATTGAGGACATGAATGTTTACTAAAAAAAATCTTGTTTTTTTTCTTTTGAATTTGTCCTCTGGGCCTGTTGTCATAGAAATTCAAGACTTCATGTCATCATGTTTTTGCATCAACTGCCTCTGTGCTGGAAGTCGGAATGCACTCTTTCTGTGATTCCTCACATTTGGACACTGCCGAGCTTGTGATTGTAGAAAGGTGTTTGTGCCAAGACTGTCCCATTGCACACAAACACAGTGAGTGTGCCCGCCTCCCCCTGAGCCTGAAGGGGCATCTGTTCCTTCCTTGTTGGACAGTGATTGTATAGCAGCAGACGTGTATAGTATACACGAGTGTGTGTGTGTGTGTGTGTGTGTGTGTGTGTGTGTGTGTGTATGTAAGGGCAAGTGTGCTGATGAGAAGAAGAAAGAGACAGAGATTGCATTATGTAAGTCAGCATGATGTGTCTCTCCTTTCTTCAACACACAGACATGCACATGCTTAAATAAGTGGAGTGTCACCTTCTCTATTGCTGTGTCAGGACTTTGGATTGGAAGCAGGAAAGAGGACCATCTCATGGAAATACCGACCCTTCTCCAGCCTTCTGTAATTTTACCTTTCCGCTCTGGTTCTTTCTCCCTCGCACTTCCTGGTCGGTGTTGCTAATTACGCCTTGGACCGTTCTGAATTAGAATGTCATTATCATTATCCAATGCTATTTTATGTCGTCAAGGTTCTCGATTTGCATTTGTATTCACATGTTTTTCCATTTGTACACTGACGCTGTGAAATTGCCAAGATTAATTTTCTGTATGCATGGTATTCATGCAAGCATTTATTTTCTGGAATTAGCATTCAACTGGCACCTTATTACACCGCATAGACCTTTCATTATCTCTAATGAATGACTCCTTTAAATGGGGAACATTTGTACTTGAATGCTGTATCTTAATATGCATCGAAAATTTCACATTCACGTTGTGATGATTGCACAAATTGGTTCTCCTGATATACGTTTTTGTATGTGAATGAAAGTTACATATGGCCTTATTTCCTGTGGTAAACACGAGTTAAAACATTGCTATCCCTTGAGCACATGTTTGTGTTCAAGGGATAGCACCAATGGTTTGCAGTAAGTGCTTTTATATTTTAGTTACAGCCCTCTTAATAACATTAGTAATGATGATACTAAATAGAAGACGCACAATAAGATAAAACAATACAGAAATAAAATGCAAATAACAGATAAAAAAATAAAGCCATGTTTAATGAACATTGTAGGGTATAAGATGATTCTGGCTATGGGCCCAGGTCAAGGGGTGAAACAAGGGGTAAGGATACTGACACTTGAAGGGGAATAAGTAGGATTAAGATTACAAGATAAGCGTTATGCTGCTAAACCAGTTCACAAATCATCTAAAAGAATGAGGAAGACTAAATACAAAATAAATACAAATACAAAAAGAGAAATCAATAAATTAGCTGAAACAATGAAGGCCATCATTATATTCTCACCATACTCCTCCTTTAAAAGTCATGGTAGCTGAGGACTACATTTAATTTAATATCATTATATCATTCTTTAAATTCAGTTTATCTTAAATCTACCTTCAGTTTATACTTTTGAAATTGTGAGACATCTACTGCTGCTTATTTTGTCATTGGCCTTTCAAATTTATATTAGTTTAAGTTGACAGTGGATGAGGAAATAAGCTTTAGATTTGTACATGTGTGGGTTTGTATATGGTTTATGTGTGTGTGCTTGCAGTTTGTGTATGTGTGCATATGCTTTGTCCTTGTTTTATAATGTCATGTACTGTATGCTTGATCAAAGTAGTAATGACCAAGATTTGGCAATAAGAGTTGCCTAAAACAGCGAGTTTCCAAAGAAGAAGTAGACCTAAGCAATTCAAACATTTTTGAAGGTCAAGACCAATGTATTATTTTCTTAACAGAAAAAAGTATTCAGTATGTCTCACAAAAATCGATTCGCTACAGTGTGCCTATAAAACAGCACTTAAACTAAAACATTAAACTCATAATATTAATTATCTTGAGTAAGACCATCATTTCTTATGACATGGTGAAACAAGTTTCTCTGCACATGGTACGGACTGACTCCTTTTTGTGTCAGTTAAACAAATGTCATTGCCATTCAAAGCAGCACTGTCAAAAAGGGAAAATAGGAAATAATCAAACACAAAAGATATTAAAGTAGCTAATGTTGACAAATGCTGTGGTGCATTTGCAGGTATCACTGGAACTGTTTTCTCATTGTTTGTGTGTCTCATAGATGCCACCTGCATCGAGGCGAGGTACCTACATTATGTAACTAACTGGCACAGGACCGTTATAATGGAGGACTGAATGAAAGTTGGCTGCTTATAACCCACCTGCTAATTTATACAGTATCTAGGGTTCCTGTAGTTCAGTGTCTATATCATTAAGCTGTACCATAATCATCAAGGTGTTTTCTGACATTTTTGAAGATCCCAATTCAAGCCAACGTGCAGACACATTTTTGGTCTGGTGGGCTGAGCCGAAGAGAACATACTGACAGTATTATACAGCTTTTTGAAGTTGTATTAAAGTGATACCCTTTTAACTGATAGTACCCTTGGTTGAATAAAATGAATTATTTTCTTGAAATTCACATTACATTTTATTCAGTAACTTGTGAATATTGAGCAGTAGTTAAAAGGAGCTGTTAAGGAATGAACTACCTTTTGTTCCATCTGAAAGGATCAAGTAACGTCCATACTTAAGAAAGCGTACAAGGACAGGACAAGGCACCCAATTATTTATCCATGTGTGAGGTAGTGAGTGTCCTTTTGTAAAAAAAAAAAAAAAAAAAAAATTAATTCCAAATTTAACCTTAAAACTTAGCAGCAGCATTTTCACATTACTTCCTGTACTGAGAACTGTTTTATTAGTACTGCTAGAATTAAAACTAAAACTACTTTATTAACTGACCTTTGGGAGCAAAATTACCGCAGTGTATGTGTGCAGAGAAACCTCCACTGTTTGACCTCAACTTTTTCAGAATGTTGGGACAGCAATAAAGACAATGAGGTTTAATAAGAGAGTGTTTATCTTTTATATTCATTTGTATTCATTTTCATTCATTTATTAGTATTATAATACTACTGATGAAATTGTAAGAACACTGTGGTTGTGTTGATGCTGTTGTTGTTGATCAGGCATCATGCTTCAATATTTATGGGCTAGGTGGAGTGTGAAGCATAGTAGCAGCACATGTTGTAACATATTGTACATATGATGGTACAGTGTGATTGTGTTTTGAAGGTAAGGCATACATGAGAAGCAATGCTAGATTGTTACCCTCAATGAAAGCTCCCTTCACATTCATTGCACCCCTTCACTGCATAGCACACATTAGTAGGTGAGGATTTATTTCAGCACAAGATGTTCCCATAAAAGTGGCAATCTTGTTCCACCCGCATGACGGTTTTAGCATTCTGGGTAACAGCATCTGAAATCAGAGACACAAATGGGTCTGTCCATAAATACATCTACGTATAATGGAGCCACCCTATGTAAAAGCACTGTTGTTAAAAATCCTGTGCTGATGATAATTGCTCTTATTCCATTTTGAGTTATTGTGTTATGTCAGGGTGATTTGTTTGAGCAAGGTATGAGTATGATATGAGTCACCTGGTAGTTGTTGACCTGATAGTTGTGTATATGAATGTTTCACTGTGTGTTCACAGAATCTGGAATTTCCCAACTTTAATAAAGCCAACACTCTGCTGAAATGATGGATTTGCTTCGTTAAGGCACTCATTGTTTTTCTTTGCGTTAACTATGTGTGTGTGCTGATACTCTCTCTCTTACACACACACATACACACACACACACTCTCATCTGCGTTGTCTTAGCAGCCAATCTGTCTGTAGCTGGTTTTGAGTAGGTATTCCAAGGATTCTGGTCTGGTGTGCTTAAAAACATTTTACAATTTAAAATGTTTTTTCTCTCCATACAACATGTTTATATGCTTTAAAATGGTTAGGATAGTTATATCATCATTTATCACAATATGGAACAGAATAATTGTGATTATATTATTAGCCACACTTGTGCTGTTGTGCAAGACAATTGTGTACTCGTGGCCCACCTAAGAGACTTGTGTAAGCTTCCAATCAATCAATATGAAAAACAAGAGACCAAAACGGCTCATCCGGCTGGCACTCAGCTTGAATCTGCGTATATACATAATAAGTTGTGTGCTGTGCTAAAAAGTGTAGGGAGATTGCTTAACATGTTGAATTAATTTTTCAAATGTTTCCTAATAAAAAAGTTAATCACGTAAAATAAATAAATTTAATTCATACATCAGTCATTGTTATAAAACTTTAATTTTTTGGACTGGTAAAGCAAAGAAAAGAAAATTTGAGACCAGTACAGCTTTGGACTACTGGCTCATCTCATCACATAGAAAGCTCAGAAGTCTTTATTCTTAGCTGAAGATGCATCTAAACTCATTTAAATGATTTTTTTGTTATCAATTTTTTTGTATTGTATTTGAACAATTTCAAGACACTTTTACTAGGTAGGAGGACATCACAATTAATTCCTAGGTTATAGACTTACTCATTTTCCCAGTTGATAGTATGCTGTTAAATGGTTTAAGAAGAAGCTGCGCTGAACATCAGCAGAACTAAGGACCCCCACTGATCTGACAACAGAAAGGAGTCAAGAGAGAGCAAATTAGACTCAGACTCCAGAATACTCTTGCCCAGTTGCTATATGTCAACTAGGAGAATGCTGTGGCAGTACAAATTCCCAGATACAAACTTGATGCAAATGCGTAGATATTTACAAAATGTTTGACAGCTGAGTGTAGCCAACTTCAACTTTGCTACATACTAATACTTACTACTGCTTCTTAGCATTTTTAGCAAGCTGTACACCAAACAGGTTTTCGTCTGTCTGTGCATGAACCAGCAGCCCAGAACGGCTTTGCTGTGGGAACATGAAGGCCAAGCTCTGTGTATCTATCATTGTCTCATGTCTTTCATTGCAGAGCAGATAAATTCACTGTTCAAGCAGCATAATTATATTTTCGCATTCATAGACTCAGTCATTCCTGTGCAAGTATGTGCTAGTGTCTCTGTATTTGTGTATGTCTTTTGCCTCACCGCACTCCACTTTTTCCAGCAGATGCTTCCAAAGCTCCCTGCCTTCTCACGCCTGATGAACCAGAGACAAGTGCCAGAGGGTAAACATGTCCACTGTCACATGTCTCTTTCCTGAATGGCTGCATTTAGCAAGCGCCACACGCCATAGTCAATGGAAGCATACACATCGGTGTACTCACACATGCAGACACATCACTAATGAGTTTAATCCTGAAATACACACCATTTCATGGGAGCCCAGGGCTGTGTTAAGCAGTTATGTTAACTATTGCATGCTATGCGTGCTAACATGGTTGTAAGCAGAATCCTGCATTATTCAGACTGGGTGGATGGGGTAATTAAGAAGTCTTGTAGTCACTTCATAATTCATCTGTGTTAAAGGCCCGGTACTTTTGCTGGGATAAACAGGGGTGGCACATGATGTGATGTGAGATGAGACAACATGGCACCTGTGCATAGAATCGCTGTCTTTTCTTATTTAGCCTGCGGCTAGTTGGGGTTGAGGTGGAACAGTAGTAAATAAGAAGCTGTCTTCTTCATACACGGCAACGGAGCCTCAGTCAAATTAAAAGATTTAAGTTGTTTGTAAGATAGTGGTCCGAGCACTAGATGAGGATTTGGGTTTCCATTTTTAGATATTACCCCCCCTACCGTTTATCTAGAAATACTTAAATAATGACTTTAGTAACAGTTGATCTTAATTTTTATAAATATCCCATGATAAGTTCTTATGACATTCACTAAAAATACATCAAGTGCTGTTAGCGATTTGGATAAAATTATTAATCAGTGTATGATTGAGTGGGGCTGTGTTAGCTCAGTCTGTTAGGACTTGGCTTGGAAAGTGGTGGGTCTCCAGATCGAGTCCAGCACGACCCTATGCCAAAGGTGTCTCCTGTGCAAGGCCCTGAACCCCGAACCGCTCCCCGGGCAGCATACGATGGCAGCCCACTGCTCCTAAATAGGATGTGTTAAACGCAGAGAACTAATTTCCCCTTCCCTGATTCTGACTAGTCCAATAGTTTGAACAGATAGCAACAGATGATAGCCGGGCATTAGACAGCATATTGATCATGCATGTTTAATACTCTTCCCACTGCAGCTGAAGGAAAATCTTACAGGCCCACAGCTAATTAGTCACTTGTCGATAACTGACACTAAGATGTATTCCAGAGGATAGGCAGCTGCAACTCAAGGCTGCTAAAAGAAGAAAATAAAAGAAGAATGAACGTGGAGGACAGAGAAGGCACGTGTCCATATAAACACAGAAACATATTTTGTATTCCTTTAATACTTGTGGATTTTTCAGGGCACGTGTTACCACTGTTAACATTATCTGTAGATCATGATCATTGTATATTGTATAGAGCTGACATGTAAGTTGTGTATATATCACATTTGTTGTTTCTACAAATAGGCTGTGTAACTGTGTATTCCTACAGTCATGAAACACTTCATTCTTGAAGTAAATCATTGATTGGTCACTATGAAAAGAAAATCTGGACATGCAATACAGCAGTAAGTAATTTTATCCTTGTTTATCCTCCTTATCCTATCATTGAGACTAGTAATTGTGAATAATAATTTGTAAATCATTGTCTGTTAGATGATCACTAATGAACACCCAGGGATCCATGTATGACATGAAATAATTGCACAGCTTTGGCAAGAGGTTGTGAGAAACAGCCTTACAGGTTTACTTGTTAATTTAAAAAACAGCCGCGCACAATGCAGAAAATCAAGATATGTATGACCTTTTCTATTACAATCTGGCAGTCCTAGCTATAGGAAGACTTTATTGTTTGTGTGTATGCTCTGGCATATCTCAGCTCTCAGAAACAGGAAGTGATCCCAGAACTCTTTAAAAGGTCAGGACAGCTCTGCTTTTTCCAGCCGTGACATTTGATTGGCAAAGGTAGGAATGTGAGTGTGTCAGGGATGAGCCAATGCTTCCTCTACATGCTTCAAAAAAGTAATCTGAATTCAAGAGGTGAGGGGTTACTTCCCCCAGGCAGCCACTCACTTTGAGGCTTTCCGTTTGCAGTGTGGCCTCCTTTTGTGTTTAATTGCATAACGGCACCGTTTAAAAATTTTTGCCCAGGACAATCATGGATCATCCTCAGTGTCTTCGTCTTGTATCAGTGAAGAAAATAAACACAGGATCAATTGATATTTATATGTAAATTGTACCTTCCTCTGCTAGCATAATCTTGCAAAGAAAATTAAAATAAATAGGGGTACCTCATTTTAACATTAATTGCACCCCTTTACACAAACTAAATTGGTAGATTTGTTCCTGTCCTAATTATTATGTTAATTTTGAATTGGATCTAGCTATCTAGTTCATTCGCTCAAGTGAAACCAGCTAGCTGGCATGATGAATTGCCACTGTTTAACGACCACACAGGAGCGATTAGTCAGCTTATGTCATTGAACTACGAGCAGTCCACTATTCTGTAGTTAAGGGGCAAGGTTTAGCTCACCTGGTAGAGCGCACTCCATGTACAAGACTTAGTCCTTACTACAGCGCCGTGAAATGCCCCAAAAAGTATCTTCTCTAGTTACCTGTATAACTCTTTTGTATGGATTCAGCTGCCTGTCTGATTTCATCAAGTTGCTGACATAATGAATAAATCACTGTTTGAGTAAAGTCTTTGTAGTAACAACAAGATCATCCACTTTGCTGCACCAAAGTCAAGATATTTTTAGGCAATTATTTCACAATTTTACTGAGATACTAAGGTCCAGTGACTCAATGGTAGGTACAACCATGACAGCTGGTTGTTATAATGTGCATGACAACTAAGCCGGTTGAATTTTTTTGTTACCTTTACGCAGACCTGGTACACACAAATAGGGCGTACATTTTCTGGTATTTGACATTGAATGCTTTTTAATACTATTCTGGTGATCTCACTAAGGACTGTGAGGTACAGGTGTTGGGTCATCAGCGCCATGCATCCACATTGCCAGTCCCTCCTCCCTTAACCGTCAGCCCACCTCTTCTGCCTGCAGTCTTGTGTGCAGCGTGCTCTGGTGGCTAAAGGTGCTCGTTAAAGTCCATAACTTATCTCACGTTTGAAGCTAATGGGAAGAATACTGGCTGCAGTGAAAAATAAATTACATTTTTCCCCCCTCTCTCTTCCTGCCCTCCTAACCTGCAGTGTAATATAGCAGCGGTGAGAGTATGCATTACAGATCTTAAGCATTAGAATTTATCTGTGCTGCACGACGCTGACTGATGCATTTGGAAATAATGTACTGGAGCTGGGCATTACAGGAACCCCTGTAACTAATGGACAGCTCTTGCCTGTGGCTGGCGATGTATATCATTCAGCTGGACTACCTCATCAACTCCAACAGTTCTTTGCAGGGCTTCCTAGCCAGACCAGCCACTCAGCGTTTGCATTAAAGATTTCTGCAATAAAAGCCCCTCCCCTCCTACTCTGTCCATCTCCCTCTCTCTCAATCCATTTATTTTGTCAGTAAATCCTTCAATTAGACACTCACTATTCTTGAAAGAAAATGCAAACTTAATGCAAGGTTAATGTGGTGCTGATGGTGCAGTGGATAAGACACAGGCCTTTGGTATGAGAGACCTGGGTTCGAATCCAGTG